GACAAAACTGTGACATGGTGCACCATCTCAAGTCATGAGGACACAAAGTGCACAGCTTTCAGTGAAAAAGTGAAAAACCTCCCTCAGGCTGCTGCTACTCTTGCCTGTGTGAGGAAAGGCTCCTACCATGAGTGCATCCAGGCCATTGCGGTAAGTCACTGCTGCCTAAAGGAGAGTGGAAAACAACCCACACTTTCTCTTGCTCCTGGCGTTCTGGAACAATTCTGTACTCACACATAGGCTGATGTACTTTAGAAATGGACATAGGAGCGGCTACCTTTAAGGAGTCTTAAAGCAAAATTCATCATGCTCTGAAAGGGAGCTATTTTGAGGCACTACGTTCTCTGAAACTCAGGGAAAAAATAAGAATGTTTGCTATCAAAATAACATGGTTTGGAAGTTCTTAATACATCATGAAAGTAGATGAATGATGGTCACAGGGAAGAGAAATATGGTGACAGAATTGCAGATGATAGCTGACCCCTTTGTTTTCTAGGTTTTCCAAAATCCTCTTCTCCTTCAACATTGTTCCTGCTCATTTGAACCTGTGTCAGTTGCTGGCTGGGCAATGGGGCTACAGTGATGGATTTAAACACACATGGTCCTTACTTTTGAGGAGCTTTTCTTAGGAGAGAAGAAAAGCATGCAAACAAGTAGATGTGTAATTTCAAAATGTGTGCCATAAAATAAAGGGGAAAAGTAGAATGCTCTGACAGAGCCTGGTATCAGGAACAATTTCCCTGAGAGGGAACAATGAAGCTGAGACCCCAGGGATGAGCATGGGTAAGATATAACACTCCAAGCAGTGAACAGTAGCATGTGCAAAGGCCCCGAGGCAAGGGAGAGCTGAGCTTGTTTGAGCTGCTGTAGAGGAGCCAGGGTGGCAGAGCAGAGCAAGGAGATACTGGAAGGAAGCAATGAGGTGGGAGAGGCAGACTCAGCTAAACGGAGCTTGGTTAACTCAGGAAATTAGTGATTTGATACAAAAACTTGTGTTTTTTTAAAAGATATTTTTATTGATTTCAGAGAGGAAGAGAGAGAGATAGAAACATCAATGATGAGAGAGAATCATTGATTGGCTGCCTCCTGCATGCCCCCTACTGCGGATTGAGCCCACAACTTGGGCATGTGCCCTTGACCAGAATCAAACCTGGGACCCTTCAGTTTTCAGGCCGAGGCTCTATCCACTGAGCCAAACCGGTTAGGGCAGTGGTTTTCAACCTTCTGGCCCTTTAAATATAGTTCCTCATGTTGTGACCCAACCATAAAATTATTTTCGTTGTTACTTCATAACTGTAATGTTGCTACTGTTATGAATCGTAATGTAAATATCTGATATGCAGGATGGTCTTAGGTGATCCCTGTGAAAGGGTCATTCGACTGCCAAAGGGGTCGCGACCCACAGGTTGAGAACTGCTGGGTTAGGGCTTGTGTGTTCGTGTTTTTTTTTGTTTTTGTTTTTGTTATTTGCTTTTAAATTGGACCTCAGTTTCTATCATGGCTTAATTATAACCCTTGAATTATGAATATGATCAGCTTTGGTCTATGCAAGCCCCTCTTTTTAAATATGTTAATAATATAAAGTAATACTATTCACAAATCCACCACAAGTTCTCAAAACTTCATTATTGCCAATAGCTTATGTTTGCAGTAGCATTGGATTCTATAGGAATGGTGCCACTTGGGGTTATGGAACTCCCTGGCCTTACTTGCAATGATCTGAGCTTCCTCTTCCTAAGCAAATAGAACCCTAAGATTTTTCTTTTGCCTTTTATTTTAGTTTTAAGACTTATCTATGTACTAGAGGCCCAGTGCACGAAATTAGTGCAGTTGGGGAGGGGGTTCCCTCAGCCCAGCCTGCACCCTCTCGCAGTCCGGGAGCCCTCGGGGGATGTCTGACTGCCAGCTTAGGCCCGCTTCCCATGGGGAGCTATACCTCCATGATCTGTGTCATGTTATATGTAGGGAATAAGACAATAGTAGTTCTAAATGAAATAAAACAATAATGTAAGCCAAACTATATATTTGTCTAGCTGATACTTGTCTAGACTTGTAATTCTATCAATAAAAACTATTCATAGAGTACTGGCAAGGGCTTCTAGAAAAATTATTTTGATTAAAGATAGTTGAAGAAAAATGGAATAGAAGTTAAGAGTATATAAAAAAATAGTGCTTCTTACTTTAAGAGAAAATAAATTATAGATACAGTGGAAGGTACCAAAAACATTTAAAGTGAACTATTAATTTTTCACTCCCACTAGTGGTGCATTTAAATACTTTACATTCTTAAATTAATTATAAATACAGTGTGAAGGCATCAAACAACAACCAGCAAGAAACAGTGTAATGAAGGAAATAAACCCATACTGCCTGGATTCTAATGCTCCATGACTCACTAGCTATGTGACCTCAAGAAGTGATTTAAAGTGTCTCTATTTTTTTTTTTTTAAATATATTTTATTGATTTTTTTTACAGAGAGGAAGGGAGAGGGATAGGAAGTTAGAAACATCGATGGGAGAGAAACATCGATCAGCTGCCTCCTGCACACCTCCTACTGGGGATGTGCCCGCAACCAAGGTACATGCCCTTGACCGGAATCGAACCTGGGACCCTTCAGTCCGCAGGCTGACGCTCTATCCACTGAGCCAAACTGGTTAGGGCATGTCTCTATTTTTTAATGTGTAAAATGCAGCTGCAGAATGACTCCCGCCTCCAGGACCGTGCTACTGAAGGCTGCCAGCCAGCAATGTAGCTAACCTCCCAGCTTACAAGTAGGCACGAGTTGTATAGCGGTGAGCTGTAACTTGTCTGAATACTCCATTAAATGAACAATGAGCCACAACAGAAGTAATCATTACTTAACACTTAGTTCAGAGTAAAGCAAGAAGTTAAATCCAAAGACACAATGACTCTATGAATGTAAGACTCCTGCAGTTATCTGGACCCAGGACAGGAAGGAAGAGTACTGAGTACTGAATCAGAGTGGAAAAGAGTATCATCAAAGCCCCACTCCCCCATAAGGAGGGCTGCACAGTGACGCCTGAAAAGGCCTCAGCAGAGGGCCCACGATAAAGAGTTCACCAAACAACAGCACCTGGGTTCTCAATGTGCACATGTAAAAGCATGGCCGGGCAGGGGGGCCTGAGTGATTGACTGCAACCTCCTTCAGAGCCTGCAGTGCCTGGGCTGTGTACCCAGCCTGGTGTGCGGAGGGCAGCTTTCCACCAGGAGGCCTGCGAGTAAAGCCTCTGAAGCTCAGGTTGATCCTAAAAGATCACACACAGGTTTCTGAGCCAAGAACCAGACTCCTCACCAGGAAAAAGAATACCAACCCATTCCTTCCTCTATGTTGGAGGAATAGGAATATGGTGACCAAACTCCCCCACTGGGGTGGTGGAGTCAACTGAAACGGTTTAGTGTGTGGTCTGACCAAGGTGATGGCTTTTCTGGCCCCCAAAGTCACCCTCACTCACCTGGGTTTAGGTGGTCTTTCCTGGAAGTGAGGACTTCATTGGTGTCTGGTTTGTTCCTTTTCAGGACAACAAAGCAGATGCTGTGACACTGGATGCAGGTTTGGTGTTTGACGCGGGCCGAGCCCCATTCAACCTGAAACCTGTAGTGGCAGAGTACTACGGGTCAAAAGAGAGTGAGTTCTCCCTGGGGACCCGGGAGAAAGTTTGTGGCTGTTGTTCTCTCCTGATAGACCCTTATTCTCTCCCAGTAGACTCTTGTCTTATTTAGGCAGGTAATGGAGGAATGAGTGGGCAATGTGGTGCCCTATAAGCCCCCACAGGCAGAACTCAAGGTCTCTGTGGCTCTGGGCTGGCTGAGGACTGGTGCTGCTGGCACTGACCTCCTGGGCCAGGAAATGTGCTCCCTGGAGAAATAGAGCAGGCAGTGTATAGCCTGACCTGAGTCATTAGAGTTTAGAGCTATATAGAGAGTCCTCCAAGAACCACAGGTGCCTCACTCAGAGGAGAGACCACACTGGAGCACACACTCTGAGAGTAACCTGACTATCTCTGGGCCTGTGTCCCTAGGTCCCAGGAAATACTTAGAGGGAGTCAGGAATGTGACCTCTGGTTTCCAGGTAGGCTTGGGTTGATAGATGTAGGCAGACAACCTGCAGGGCCAGGGTAGGAAAAATCATGTGCCTGTGGCCTTCTGGCCAGTGTTTGCCGGGAGGGTTATACGAATGTCCCCTCTCTGGTCCTTTTCTTCCCTGCAAACCTAGGGAAGTTACTCTGATCTCTCCTTCTTCAGGACCCAACCCAACATAAGTGTGGCTTGTGGGTTCCCCTTCCCTAGTCAGGAGCCCAGCAGTGATGAGCAATGTTTCCCTGAGGCCCAGGTTGTGGGTCTTCCATTCACATATCTCTTTGTAGATCCACAAACCAGCTATTATGCTGTGGCCGTGGTGAAGAAGGGCAGCGGCTTCCAGCTGAATGAGCTTCGAGGCAAGAAGTCCTGCCACACAGGCCTTGGCAGGTCCGCTGGGTGGAACATCCCCATGGGCACACTCTATTCTGAATTGCCTGAGCCACAGGAATCTCTTCAGAAAGGTAAGCAGGCGGGAGGTTGTGTGCCCTCGGGCAGACGTCCCTTCTTTAGGTGCCATACAGGCCACCCTGAGGTCACCCAGACATGATCAGGTGGTCATGTGTGATGATTCTTGGGGTGGAGGCGAGAGGTTAACCAGCTTTAAACTGGTTGGGTCTGCAACACTGGCAGCCCTTGGGAGGGTTCGGCTGAGTCTTCTCTTCTCTGAGCTCCTGATACCTCACAGAGGCTGCCTGGAGGAGTGGGCAGGGAAGGGCATCAGGCCCGACAGAAGGTTCAGGCAGGACCAAGGTCAGTGGGGCCTATTGCCCACTTCCCTGGGGTGCCTTCCTTTCTGTGTTTACCCTCCTGCTGGAGCATTTTCTGGTGGCCATCTGCTGGCCATGAGCCTGGCATGCACCTGTCCAGGTGGGTCTGTCATCTCCTGGGCATGACTTCCAGGGAAGACTTCTCTCTGAAGACTTCGTTCCAGTGTGACGAGGCAGGGAGGAGGCTTGCCAGTGACCTAAGACAGGCCTTGGTTGGTGGCAGGCAAAGGCCTGGTCCTTGGGGAGGGCGGTGGGAGAATAGTTGTTAACATGTCCCTTTTTGGAAACCTTGATCTTGACGAATGAACACACATATGGGCAAGCTGGGCCTGGTATGCTGGTTTTGTTCTGGTCACTCTCTGTTCATGCATGAGCCTGGGCTGGGACCTATAATTGTCTTTGGCCAGGCTGGTTCATGCCCTGTGTTTCACATCTGTGTTGAGCAGCAGCGTCCAATTTCTTCGCGGCCAGCTGTGTCCCCGGTGCGGATGGGACAGCCTTCCCCAAACTGTGTCAGCTGTGTGCTGGGAAAGGGAAAGACAAGTGTGCCTCCTCCCACCATGAACCGTACTCTGGATACTCGGGTGCCTTCAAGTGAGTGAGACTTGCTGCTGCTCCATGGCAGCCAAAGTGTTCAATGTCCTCAGGCTGGGAAACCCTCTCTGGCCCATAGCATAGCCCAGCCTGCAGCAAGAGTGTTCAGGTGGCCTAACCCTCCAGCTGGGACTCCCTAGACTAGGCCAGCACATGCTCCCTTCATGTTTCATTGATAAGGAAGCCGCTTTCCTTGGGACTCTTCTGTCTTCCCAGAGGCCTTGAATCTGGCAAGTGTGTCCTCTCACTGTACTGGGCAGAGCCTGAGGGGACAGGAACATCCTAGTGTCCGGGACATTCTCCCGTGACTGGCTCTGTTTTCTACTGCAGCAGTGTCACCTGCTCAATGTACTGGCCTCTCTCCTGCCTCCCCTCATGGCCTCTGTGCAGACAGACAGTTCACATGGCTCATTTCTTGCTTCTTCTTTTCCCTTGGTTTTATAGCAAGCTAAGGGTACTTTTCTCCCTCAGGAGATGCTATGCCTTTATCTTCCATTTCAGAAGTTTGAAAAACATTCTCTGTACTAAAATATCTTCAATGCCTTTTTGCTGCTTTGGGGCACCTGGTTAGGGACGTCTAGTTCCTGTGAGCTCCCCTCTCACACATCGGTGGTACCCTAGATAACATAACCCCATGGTGCTTCCTCTGCTGTTGGTCTGCACAGAGGTCTCCACCAGGCTCTCCCCTTGTCCAAGTCTGGACAGGTGATCAGACCCTCAAGCCAGGAGAAGGGTCTATCCTGCAGAAACCCTCCTAATGTGTTTCTTCTCACAGGTGTTTAATGGATGGTGCTGGGGAAGTGGCCTTTGTCAAACACTTGACGGTATTGGGTAAGTGATAGAAAACTTTGCAGATCCCCTCCAAGCGGTGGGCCTTCTCTTTTTCCTGTCTCCCTTTTCATGCTCAGTAGTCAGACTTGAGCATAGTGTGTTCCTCCTTTATCACTGCTTGCGTTTCTACATGTTCAGAGATATGTGCCTGTGGGGTCCCCACCTGGACTCCTGGGCCTTTTTCCATCATTCAGTATCCTGGATACGGGGCCCTTTCCTTCTGTTAAATGTTGCCATAGCAAAGGATTGGGGACACGTCTGGCCAACCTTGGCCTGTAGTTGGCTACTAAGATGAGACCCAATGTGAGACATGGGGCAGTTAACCCTGCACTGGGTATCAGAAAATTCCTCTCCTGTAACTGGCTGTGGGATCGTGAGCAAGTCAGTTTCTCTGTGTTCTTTAGCCCTCAGTGTTAGCTCCAGGCTTCTCAGCTCACACATTTTATGATGCAGTGGGATTGCATGGGAGGGGAAGGGGGACCAAAAGCTCATGGCTTTTCGTGCAGTAGGTTCATCTGGGCTTTCCTCCCTCAGAGGACCTTCCACACCAGGCTGACAGGGACCAGTATGAGCTCCTCTGCAGGGACAACACCCGGAAGCCAGTAGACAAATATGAGGAGTGCCACCTGGCCGCTGTCCCTTCCCATGCCGTTGTGGCCCGAAGTGTAGGTGGCAAGGAGGACTTGATCTGGGAGCTTCTCAACCAGGCCCAGGTACCAAATCCATTGTTCTCTCTCCTTAGTGGTCCTTGCTTGGATGTGGGGCATTTTCCTTCATTTCCTTAAT